GTCTCCATTTGTATATTGAGTGTTTTGACCTCCTGTATGAGTCCATACTTTCACATATGGCATAATAGAACTTTGCATTTCAGGGTTAATGGTTGTTGTGAAGTTGTTGTTAAAGTTCATAGCATCTAATGTCAAGTTGTATGACCTCATATCCTCAACTGTAGAATATTCTTCTCTTGGATATATTTGCCATCTATGTTTATATGATATTTAATACCAGGGTTGTAGAAACAAGAATAGTCATTTATAGTTCGTCTGAACAGTACAAACATAGTATCTGCATGTTTCATTGCAGTTGTTAAGCAATATCTGTTCTTGCACCTGGGTCAGCACTTTGGTTTCCAACTTCACCTGCAAAGTCTTTGACAGATATTTGGTGTATAGGGAACATAAGTGGAACTGCAATATATTTGGCAGCTAAAGCATTTGAAATATCTGGGTCCAACATATAGACTGCAAGTCTGCTTTCTATTCTCTTGCATTCAAACTTTTCGCATGTGAACTTAACTGGGTCCCAAGCAGTTCCAGCAGCATTGAAGTAGTAGTTTACTTCAGTGTTGAGGTTTGAGAAACCAAAGTCTAAGTCAACTTTGTCTTTGCAAAAGTCACAGAACTTGGCTCCACCAGTTCCAGCTACAGTAAGAGTGAATGGGTCTTGTGTTGGTGCAATGACTAAGTTATTTTTGCTTGGAGTAAGTTCGATAGAAATTTTTCCTGCCCAGTTTGGCAAGTATCTTAAAAACCTGAAGATGAGGAAAGATGACAAAGGAACTCTAAGTTTCATTTTACTTTGGTTACGCTCCAGTTTGTCCAGAAAGGTTAACATAAACTCCTGGAACGTTAGGGTCAAGTCTTCTTATTTTCTCAATAGTTGCATACTGGTCTGTTTGTTCTCTAGCTTGTGGTTGTACTGAGTTTCTCAAAGCGAACCATTCATAGTTTGCCCATGTTACTGTTTGAACTAAGTCAGAGTTAGAATATATCTTATATCCCATGAAAACTTCTGGAGCATATTGGTATCCGACATAGAAAATTCCATTGCAACCTTTCTTGTCAGACAACTTGGCAGAAGGTTTTATTTCAATGTCTTGTTCCACGTATAAGAAAGAGTTGTCAATAGAAATTATATGAAACCTGTCGCAAGCAATATCTACTGTTGTTGAAGAACCTTCTCCAAACTCACCTACGTTTCCATAAGAAACAGCAGTTGTATATTCGTAAGTTCCAGGAACTATTTCTGACCTTCTAATGGCATTGTCGCATTCGTTATACCATTCGGAAACATTTCCATTCATGGCATCCAAAACTGTTGGCGTTATATTCTGAGCGGCGTACATTTCATATGGGTAAAAATATAGAATAGTTGGATTTATATGTCATAATAGAACCCACGTGGACCAAGCTTTACTTTCTTCCTGACTGAGTTTTTAACTCTTCTTTTTCCTTCATTGCCACTACTTTCACTAGATGAAGTTACTTCTTCACTACTTTCACTTTGTTCTACTCTTCTTCTTTGGTGTCGCTTTGGTAACTTGCCCTCTGCTTCAAGTTGTTGCATCTTTGCCTCATGTTCATCTAGTATGTTGCAAATTTCCCATGTCCTTTTTGCCTTTGGGCTCTGGTCGCCCATCTCAGGTAACCTATATCCTAGAAAGAGTTTGTCATAGTTTGTATTTGAGTCTTCGCGTATTGTTTGCATGACTCTTCCTGAGTTTCCGGTTCAAGCTCTTCAAACAGTGCCTGTCCATATGGAATAAGCTCGTTTCCAAATATATGTTTTTGTAGCCATTCTGGTTTTCTTTCCATGTTACCAACAATATCTTTTGTGAATGGGAAAGCTTTTACCCAATCTTTCAGTCTTGCGTCGTTTATTTCTGTAGTTGGTTTTATTTTGTCAAGGAACATGTTTTTCAATACTAACATTTCATTTGGTACTGTCCATTTGAGTTTTCTTAAATATTCATCCCTTCTCAGTTCATTGTCTGCAAAGTAAGTTTTTATGACATTTTGCAAACTTTCGTTTGCAAGGTCATGTACAATAGGTTCTCTTCCTTCTCCCTCCCTAACTTTCTTTCTAAACTCTTCACCAAATATACCATCTCTATGGTTCTGTGTAGTTCTTTGAGATAAATGTTCTAGAACGTCAGGTGTTATATTTCCATCAGCCATGTTCATTTCATACTGGTCCAAAATATCTGCATGTTTCATATCTTTCAATGGCATTAAAGCCGCGCTTAAAATACCAGCTATATCGTTCACCATTCTTCCATTGCGTCTACAACTTCTTGGAATTGTGGTTGTAAGTTTATGAACCACCTATCCGGATTAGCTTTATGACCCCATCTCATTGTAGTTCCATCGTCTGCAGAAACAAAAGTAGGTTTGTTTCCATCTTGGTTAGGTTCTGAATGAACTTTAAACAATGTTTCATTTCTATATGTTTTCTTGAAATTTAACCTTTTATTTTCACCGAGTTCATCCGAAGATTGAACGTTAAATGCTCGTAAGTAAAAAGGGTTGTTGTATTTGTGTACATTTTCTTTCAGTACTTCCATTCTATGCTGAATATTTTCATCTGGTGTTGGAGTCTTTTGTATGTCGGCAAACATTTTTCGATATTCTTCTACTATGTCAGCCGAATTTTTTTTAGACTCTTGGAAATATTCCATATTCTCCGCATACTCTTGTTGAGGGTCAAGATTTTTCGGCTGTTCCAAATCTTCATCTAGTTCTGTGAAGTTAGTTTCCAAAGGAGGACTTGTTCGTTTCCTTCAGGCTCTTCTAGCTGTTGTTGCTGAACTATTTCTTCCATGTCTGGTTGTATCTGAACTAGTTCTTCCTGTGGAGTTTCTTGTACCTCATCTGCTGGCATTTCATATATTCCGAGACCGTTTTTAAAAAGTTCCCTTTCTAAGTCATCCGGACTCATAAACCTTTCTTCTTTCGTTCCGTCTCTATTTTTTACGCGTTTCATGAAGAGAGTTAAATTGTCATTTAGCTCTGACATCAAATATCTCGGAGTAAATTCGTTTATGTCATTTGGATGATATGCTATTAAATCATATCCCTTAGCGAGCTTGTATTTTCCAGGTTTGAGATTATATCCCCTTTGGTGCAGAGCCATAAAGCTAAATAGGTTCGGGTCAGTATTTCCATCCTTGAACTTTCGAATAGCTTCTTTATATCTGTCACTAAAGTCAATAGTATCTGGGTAACCATAGTCTTCTTTAAGCATTTTTAAGAATTCTTGGTTTCCTTGTTCTCTACTTCTTTTATGTCCTTGCTCTGTTTGTGGTTGTTGTTGTGCAGGGTTTTGAACTGTTGGTTGCTGTGCTGGATTTTGAACTGTTGGTTGTTGTGTTGGATTTTGAACTGTTGGTTGTTGTGTTGGTTTTGGTGCATGCCTGTGTCTGTGTCCATGTGACGATGTAAATGTTTTAGGTAGTCCTGGTGCAGGTGCTTCTCTTGGAGGGTTTGGTGGTATATAAGTTCCACTAGCTAGTATATAAGTTCCACCAGCTGGTATATAAGTTCCACCAGCTGGCACATATGTTCCATCTGCAGCGTAATGTCCTACCTGACTTTTCGTTCTTAAGAAAGCATTTACTAGGTCTGTTTTGGTCTGTTGTAACTCTTTTTCTTGACTTTCCACAACAGTTGCTCTAACGGCGTCATAGGCACTTTGAACTGCCTGTCTCGTTGCTGCATCTGTTATTTTCGTCATATTTTGTGCTACTTCTTTTAACTCTTTGTCGAAACCTTCAGACTTCAGTTTCTTTCCAGATGAGAAGTCGTTCACTAGTTTCACCTTACTATGAAGAGCTTCGAAGGCGTTCTTAAAGTCAGCATTTGTTAAAGCTTCATTTGAACTGTCTTCATCCGCTTGTATTTTTGTCCTTATTGACCCTATGAGTTGGGCTGCTTTGGCGTTGGCTTGGGCATCTAACCAGTCATTGTTAGCTTTTATATATTCTGCGCTTTTCATTGCCTTTTGCATGGCTGCGTCGTTATTTTTACTTTCTTGTGCTAAGTTTTCATACTGTACGGTTTGGTTTTGCAACTGTAAAAGTTTTTCTGCCTTTACATTTGCTTCAACTTCCTTTTTATACTCATCGCTATCCATATATGTCTTCAGGGCTTTTTGTTTTATCTCTTCATCTTTCAGTACTTTATATTGAGTAGTATGGTTTTTCAAATTTATGACATCTTGTTCCATTTTTGCTACTTCTGCTGCTTTTTCTGACACTTTTTTCGCATATTCCTCTGTACTTAGTTCTTTCAGTTGTTCTTCTTTCTTCTTTTTCTCTACGTTTAACTCATTGAGTTTCTTTGTGTGTCTGTCATATTCTAGTTTCTTTTCGTTTTCACCTATTTGCTTCTGTATGTCTATGTTTGACTTTTTGACATCTGCTATTTGATTTTTGAGTGAACTCAAATTCATTTGACTTTGAGGGTTATATGCTGTTCCGTCTGCAGCTCCACCATAGCCTGCCATTTTCGCTAAAAGTGCCGCTCTTAAACCTCCACTCTGTGCACCAATAACTCGGTTTAAAAGCATAGGGTTGCTTGACATTTGTTGCAACATAGTGGGGTCATTCAGCATTTGTTGTTGCAACTGTTGTTGTGGTGTCAGTCTTACTATTGGATGTTTCAATGCTCTCTTCCTCTTACGTATATTCTTACGTAGCTTACGTGGCATTTTAAGTGAAGTTAAAAAGCGGTTTTATACTAAACATCTTCGGGGCTAGAGGGCACGAAGTGCCTGGAAGCCCCAATGCCTTTTTTTTTATATCACAAAATTTGAGATAAAATTGATTGATTTCAATTTGATCTTTCATTGAATCAGCCAAATTAAAATGCATATTATTACATTATACATCTCAAAAGTATTTTTAACTTTCTGAGGAGATAGGGATTTGTGATTGTATCTTCAAAATTGAATCCTAACAAATCTCTTTCAATTTTTCAATCACTTGATGGAATCTTCCATAAGTAACGAAATGCATCCAGTATCCAGTGTATTCGTTCCCAATAAACTAAAGAAATACTCACAGTTAGATGATGCCATACTAAATATTCACGAAAACTCCATCAACGAAACATTAAGCTTTATTCAAACAAATTTTAACTCAAATGAGCTAACTTTCATTTTTAATAGAATTATACAGATTTCTAAGATCAGACTAACATCTAGACGGGATCTAGCTGATCTCTATATCAGAGTTTGTATCTTATTTGATGAAAAGATTGATTTCAAGCACATTTTAAGTGCTTCTAATCCATTTGCATTCCAGATTATATCAGAAATTACCAAATTTGTAAATGTAGATCACATTCTTCCGTCGAATTTTGCAATTTCCAATATTCAAGAGAACTTACTCCACAAATTTATATACTTATATCAAAAGAACTCAATAAAGTCTATTATCAAAGCTGATAACGTCGAATTACTCAAGAATTTTGTAAATGAAAATCGAAAATTCGACTTTAGAACTAAAAAGTCCATCTCAGCATTTTACAATCTAGGTAAAAGATGCAAAGTATCACTCTTAGGCTTTGCTGCTCATTATGGAGCCTTAAATTGCTTCAATTATCTCTTAAATCAAGGTTTACAACCAAATTTGAATGAAGCACACCATGCTATTATTGGTGGAAACACAGATATCATCGAAAACTACAAGGAAGAGATCCCAAATTGCCTTGAAACTGCTATTCTTTGGAATAGAAATGAAATTGCTGATTATATCCTTAGTAATGATGAAGAAATTATGTTTTCTATTGAATCAGCAACAAACAACATCAAGGCAACTCTTTTCTTACTTAGTTGCAACTTCTGTGATTCAATGACTTTGCAAATGAAGAAAATTTTTGACGGATTGAAGTCTGCAGAGGCTTTCAAAGATATGAACTTACTTAATCATTTATTTGTTCTTAATTAAAATGTAAAAATATGGTATTATTTCATTAACTTCAATTTTTTTATATAAACTGAAACGTGATAGCAATGATGGGCTTAATCACAAGCTTACCTTCTTCCATAGCTTATAATTATATGAATTTTAATTTCATTATTTTAATTTATAAGCATTTTGGCAATACAAACCAAATACTCAAACTCTGGATAAGATCTCAATCCATGAGTTACGATGTATAATCTTATATATTATAATTTATTCAAACTTATTTATAAAAACATGTTTAATGACCGAGACAGTTTCAGAATGTTTGCTATTTTGTAAGTGAAGACTATGCAGAGCATAAAATTAGTTAGTTTATCAATAATTTGATATCAATAAAATTAAATTGAAGTTCATGCATTGTTTTTTGAAATGAATTAGTAACACATTCTGGCAATAAAATAATTATTGTCATATATATGCATCTCTTCTGTAAAATCTGTTGATTTTTCTCAGAATGGCACTGTGATTAAAAGAATTTGACATTTCAAATTTGATAAATAAGATGTTAGATATTAAAAGACAATTTTCCATAAGTCGAAAGTAATCCATTCAAAAATTGATTGGGATATCTCAAAAAGTTGTACTAGTTCATGACCTTAAATTGTGCTAAATTTCTTTTGTCTTGATTTTATTCAATCAATCCCTTCCGAATAGAATATAATTATGCATAATTACCTAAGAAAATCCACTAATTTCCATTGAAATATCTCAGAAAAAGAAGCCAACTCACAAATAATTTTGATGTTGATCAGTCAACATTTGCTAATTTATCATCAAATCGTGGAGGCGCAATTTATTGCGATTCTCCGATTTTATTAAGAATAAATCATTGCTTATTTACCGCTTGTTATGCATCAGATAGAGGAGGAGGTATTTTCTGTGATAAAAATGATTTTTATATGCGGAATACTTGCTTTTTAAGCAATGGTGCAGTTTTTGATGCCGATTCTCAATCTTATACGTCTGTAAATTTGAATTATGAATATATTTCCACAGCTAATTCATTAACTAAATATCATTCATTTTGGACAAAAGCTGATGTTTATATGAAAATGAGATATATTAATTCATCTTTTTCCAAAAATACTTTACTCAATGATCAATATGGTAGTTTTATGACAATATGCGTATGTAAGAATCATTCCATGAAATATCTTCAAGGTTCAAATTGTTCAGGTTTGAATTCACTTTTTGCTGTCGAATCAGAGCATCCAGCTACAGTTGAATATGTAAATTTGCTTTATGATCAAAGTTCTCCAAATATCTTTGGTTCACAATGGCAGACAAGTTATAATAATGTTTTTCGGTATTTTTATGTATTTGGAAACACAAATATTAAAAAAGTTTTTGCTCAATGTGATTCATCAAGTACTCTATATTTATATTATTGTACATTCGATTTATCAGAATCTCTTTTCACTTCTGGGACACATAATAGTTGCAAATTTTCAAATTCTAATAATAATAATTTTCATATTTATACTCAACGGAAGATGATTATTTGCGAAGAAGTCATTCAACTTGACCGCATTATCACATTATTTTTCTGTCATTACACTAATCTTTATTTCATTCTTGGCTTGATTTATATTATATTAGAATAAATATCATTAATTTATTTGTCATTTTTCATTGTTTACTTTTTTCCACTCTGATATAACTCTGTGTTAGGAACATCTTTGTTAAAATAGACATATTTGCCCGAATTGAAGTCTTTTTAAAATTTTAAATCACAGGAAATTATTGCAAAAAGCCAAAAAAAATCCTATTGAATTACAATCTCTCAATTTTTAAATCCAGAATAACCAGATAGTTGATTTAATCGTGTCCATCCAAAATATCTAGTTATAAAATTCAGGTATCATGCTGCAAGTTTACTCAGTTATCTTCTTCTATGAATGGGGGAGCTATCTCTCTAATTTCATATAATATTGAAAGTGAAATTCAATATTCTCTATTTTCTGAATGTTCCTCATCTTTAGAAGGAGGAGCAGTTTATATTAAGAAACTTAATACTAATTTTACAAATAATATTTTTAGATCTTGCTTTTCTTCATTAAAAAGTAATGATAGATATGGAAATGCAATTTATAATGAAGAATCACTGTCTGATTTGAATGAATCTTCATTTTTGTCATGTGGCCCTGATAAAAATAGAAGAAGTGATAGTTGTGTTTTTATGAAAGGAAATAAATTTATATCTATGTTAAATAATGGAACTAATAACTATGGCAGTGGAGGGAGTGGCTTAGTTAGTTTCCGATCTGCTCTTACAGGAACATTTGTTAAATTTAATCAAGTTTATAAATGCTTTGATCACTATTTTATTGAGATTATACTTTGCTCATATAATGCTACCTACAGTAATTATATTGATGCTTCAGAACAACAATATATTTTTTATGTTGGCATTGGAACAGCAAATTTTGAGAATTGTATATTTTTAAACTTATCTGGTAAAACAATAGAGAATTCACAGGGCTCTTATAAATTTACAGACTGTTTTTCAAATGATAAAACATCATTTATGTCTCAATCTTCTTTCCCTACTACTCATAAAATTGATATTGTAATTAAAGATTGCAATAGTAAAAAATCTTGCTCATTAATTCATCGAGACCTAAATTTCATACACTTTTCTAATTTGATTCTTTATTTATCTATTCATCTTATTGTTGAATAAACATTCATTTGTCACTTCACGCCAATAAATATATAAAAATTCAATCCTAATTTTTTATTCCCTCCCATGAGAATAAACAAATGATATGAATGATTATTTACCTTATGTTATGCACCTGATAGAGGGGGATGTATATTCTGCAGTAACAATGACTTTTATTTGAAAAACACATGCTTTTTAAGTAATGTTGCAGGTTGGGATGGAGATTCCCAATCTTTTTCTGCAATTAACCTGTATTATGAATATATATCTTCATATAATGCCTTAACTAAATATCATTCGTTTTGGAATGGGGCTATGTCTTATATGAAAATGAGATTTATTAATTCATCTTTCTCGAAAAATACTTTACTCCATCAACAATATGGTAGTTTTATGTCCTTATATGTATCTTATAATCATTCCATGAAATATCTTCAAGGTTCAAATTGTTCAGGTTTGAATTCACTTTTTGCTGTCGAATCAGAGCATCCAGCTACAGTTGAATATGTAAATTTGCTTTATGATCAAAGTTCTCCAAATATCTTTGGTTCACAATGGCAGACAAGTTATAATAATGTTTTTCGGTATTTTTATGTATTTGGAAACACAAATATTAAAAAAGTTTTTGCTCAATGTGATTCATCAAGTACTCTATATTTATATTATTGTACATTCGATTTATCAGAATCTCTTTTCACTTCTGGGACACATAATAGTTGCAAATTTTCAAATTCTAATAATAATAATTTTCATATTTATACTCAACGGAAGATGATTATTTGCGAAGAAGTCATTCAACTTGACCGCATTATCACATTATTTTTCTGTCATTACACTAATCTTCATTTCATTCTTGGCTTGATTTATATTATATTAGAATAAATATCATTAATTTATTTGTCATTTCTCATCGATAAAGTTTAATATTTAGGGTGCATCATTGGCTGGGTAATATGGCATTCAATATAACATTTCACATCAGAAATATATTTTTAAGGTAAGATGAGCCAAAATATTCCTTGACAAAATTTGAATATTATTGCTTTTTCATTTAAATTTTAAGAAGTTATTTTGATGCAATTGTCATTTAATAGATTTAAATGAAAAATATACTAAAATATCAGATGTGACTTTTTGATATTTTCAATTCAAAAAGTCACATCTGATTTTTTTAATAAAATTGTCAAGAATTGAGCATACATATGAGCTCTTATTCACTAAAAGTGTTAATACAATCTTGAAATCTATCATTATTCTATCAAAATAGTAACTTTGAAACTTTGCCTTGAAATATTTAGAGGATACAATACATCCTATCTTTGATATTGATATTGATCAATCTTTGTTTATCAATTTAGCTTCATTATATAGAGGGAGAGCTATATACTGTAATAATTCTTTAAAATTAAATGTTGATCATTGTTTATTTAGTTTGTGTTCTGCCCAAGATAGAGGAGGATCAATATTTAGCGATAAGAATGATATTTATTTAAAAAAATACATGTTTCCAGAGAAATTATGCTTTGCATGATGATGATTCGCAAGCATTCATGGCAAATAATCTAATTTATGAGTATATTTCATCATCTTTTTCTCTTTCTAATGTGCATTCCTTTTGGAATGGTTGTTACGGAGTTTTTATTTTGAAATATTTTAATTCATCTTTCTCCAAAAACATTTTATATAATCCTCAATACGGGTCTTTTATGACAATTCATGTTTCTGAAACTCATTCTATTAAATATCTCCAAAATTCGAATTCTTCAGGATTAAATTCAATTTTATCTTTTGAATCCCCGAATCCTGCAACCATTATGTACGTTAATTTACTATATGACCAAGTATCTCCAATTTTGATTGGCGCTCAAGCTTTTAGTAGCAACAATATATGCGATCATTTTTATGTATTTGGCAACAAAAATATTTCACGAGTTTTTGCAACTACAATTTCTTCAAGTACAATTACAATAATTAGTTGCACTTTTGATTTGCCAAGTTCAATGTTTTCAACTATTGCGACCCAATATTGTTTGTTTTCCAATTCTGTAAACAATTTTCTTGTTTACACTAAGAAAAAATTGATAATTTGCGAAGAAGTCATCCAAATTGACAGATTTTTTTCCATAAATAATTGTCAGTATTACTATTTCAATAACTTATTCATTTCATTTTATGTTTTATTTGATCTAACTTGAAATTGAATCTTCAATATTTTCTTGAAATTTAATTAAGGGAGACTATAGATAAAATTGTCGCTTTTTGAGAAATATCTTAAATAATGTGACTCCATCAATAAATTTTACTTCACATACATAGAAATTAATTATTCATATTCCTAATTGATTATATACATTTACTGTCAAACTTAAAAAGCATCACCTTGGAATAATTCCACAAAGAATATCTTACATCCCCACTTTATCACATAAAAAAGAAGGAACGATCCCTCATATGACAATTTTTGATACTAAACTAAACTCAAAAAAGGACATTATCATTTTCGTCTGGAAAAAGTGACAAAATGTTCACTTTTCTGGCATTTTGTCAGGGGCGTGAAGCGATCAAAAATATAGGAAATGTGCAATTCTCGGGTGTATGATTATTTTTGCTTTTAATACCCAACAGCATTTGAATTAAAATAATCGTATGTCGGAGAATTATCATTTTCGTCTGGAATCTGAATTATCAATAAATCATCCTTAAAAATTGAAATATAGATTTTTATGAATTATCATAAAACAGAATAAATAAGAATGTTCGGAATTGACCATTGAAAAAATAACAACATTTCATAGAAATTTTATTCTGCCAAAGCATATCACAGAATTTCAATGGTATGGAAATAGAACTCACAATTATATCTGGATTAATTTGAATATTTAAAGTTTTCTCATTTGCATAACAATGATGAAAATTATAAAAACCTTCTCCATAAACGACTTTATTTGATGTATTTATAAATATACAATTTTCAAATAAAGCAGTTCCACCACTTACCCAAAATAGATATTGAAGTCGAGTGCCATCAATAAAATTATTAAATGATATATTAAAAGTGCTTGAACTTATCTCAATAAAATTATCATCAGCACACTTATAAACTTGATTAAGTTTTACAAATGTGCCATTATATGATATAGGGTGTCCAAAGGTGTGTTTAGCACAAACCTGAATACTGCGAATAGAAATAAACAAGTTACATATATATAAAGTTTATTTAAATATAATCACCATTGGATTCAATCACGCGTTCGCAGCGATCGATCCAGGCTTGAAAGACACGCTTTAAATCATCATGAGAAAATTGCTCAAATTGCTCTCTTACAAAATTTTCAAGATCATCTGGACTCGCGAATTCGCGTCCTTCAGCTCTCTTTTTTAGCGTGCCGAATAAATAAAAGTCAGAGGGTGCAATATCAGGTGAATAAATTGGGTTTGGAACAACTTTGACATTGTTTTCCACCAAGTAATTCATTACCTTATGACTTTTGTGAACTCTTGAATTATCAAAATGAATTGCAAACTTTTGTTTTTGTTGTTTGGATTTCTCAAACTCATCAGAATTGATAATTTGAGTAAGAACATTGTCAATTAGATACTGAGCATTCATCGTATTAGGTTTTTGAAGAATATCAATTGCGATGATGCCATTCACGCCCCAAAAAACCGACAACATCATCATTGGTGTGTCAATTTTTTTCTTCGGGAATGTTTGCGGATTTTCATCCTTTGGGATCCACATGATTTTGGCTTCTGTTGCATATTGAAACCAAGACTCGTCTCCTGCTACTAAAAAGCAAAACTTCTTGGATTGATACGCACCCAATATAGAGAGGAGCTCTTTCGAAGATTGGACTCTAGATTTTTTTTGAACTGAATTAAGGTTGTGCGGAACCCAACGTGTATACGCTAGTTTGTAGTTCAAATAATTGTGCAGATAATAACTGACTGTTGTACGTGGTATCTTTGTCATCTCCTCTATCCTTCTGAGTGATGCTCTTGGGTCTTCATCTAGCGCTTGAAGAATTGCTTTGATTTTTCTTTGATCCGGCGATTTTTTGTCAATTTTTATGATGGGCGCCTTTTTGTTCATGAAGTGATACATCCTAACATGATACGTTACAGTGGAATAGCTAAGAGCATCCATACCGAAGCATTTTACCAATGTCTCGTAGATTTTTTTACAGTCTTTGCATTTTTTTGCAAGAGCGAGGATGTTTTCTTTATGATTCATTAAAAAATGAAAAAAATCCCGCCAAAATTTCCCGCGAAACCGCCTCTTGTCTCAAAATTCATTTTATATCCCGGCATGGCGCCAAAATACAACATACTCATCATATACATATATTCATATTTTTTATTATATATTTATAATCAGCATATATCTCCTTTAATAGTCTCATATAGAGCGCTGTGCTAAACGCACCTTTGGACACCCTATACATCAAAGCTAATAAGACTTCCTCCTCCATATCCATAATTATAACTTCCATTGTTCAACAATGAAACAAAATAATTCCTATACAAACGAATACAACTATCTGCTCTATTTAACTTATCAGGTGCACATTTACATATTGTAGAATCATTAAAATATGTCTTTGTACATGCAGAATATATTACATTCCCAAATTTATCTTTCGTATTAATACTGCTAAAGCAAGAATTAAATTGATTATATTTAAAATTTTGAGAAATGATTTGTGTGAATATAGCTCCTCCTTGTGCTGATGTAAAGCATCCAATAAAAATACATCTTAAAACATCAATAACAAAATTTGAATTAATAAAAGACAAAGAACCTCCATTTGAAGTAGAAGATATTTTCACAAAACTATTACATATTAGGCGTGCTGAACATAGAGTTATATCAAGATCATTCAAATTTTAGTGAAATTACTATTCATTTCAAATGGGATTTGAAAAAGTGGCATTTAATTTTTTATATCTTTAATTTATTTACAATTATCAGGGATTTCATTCATCTTATTGTAATCAATAAATCTTTCAATTTTTTGTCAAATTATTAAAACTCGAAAACTCGATAGGTTATTTTATCCCCATAAACATTTTATAGAATATATCATGTGAGTTAGCTTTTTTATTTTTAACGCTTTCTGTTACATGGAGTACAATTTTCAACAATTTGAAATAATTTGTTGGTCTAACAAATTCTATTTTATTCTTTAAATGATACCTCAAAAGGGGTAGTTCGTGTTAGTGCTTTTGAATCTCTTGGTTTATACATTTTCGATTATCCTTGTGATTCGAATTATGATTGCACAGATTATATCATCAAATTACCACCTGGTGATTACAAGTTTGAACTATATGGCGCGTCTGGTGGTTTTTATTAATGAAAGCAATAAGTGCATCGATCAGAAAATTGTCGAAAAGTACAAAGGAAATACGGTATGCCTAAAAAACGGAAGTCGAGGCGGTGCAGGTGGTTACATATCAGGTATTGTTAAGATTGAAAGTGAAATTATAGCTTATGCGACTATCGGAGGCCGAGGAGTTTATGATTCACCTAACAAAGGAGGTTATGGTGGTGGAGGAAACTCTATTAATAGTGCTGGATCTGGTGGTGGTCAAACTGCCGTGAAGTTTATTAATAATGACCTTTGGCATCGCGTTATTGTAGGTGGTGCAGGAGGTGGTTCTGATAATAGCGGACTAAATTCACCGATAGGGAATCCTGATGATGGATCAGGAGGTTCTGGAGGTGGATTTATTGCACAAGGACATTGGCATCGTGGTACCTTAACTTCAGATAAAGTTGCAAATTCAAGTTTTGGATTTAGTTTCGGTTATGGAGAATCAGGAAGAAATCGAAATTCTTTGAATAAAAATGGATATACATCAAATGATGCATATGAGAAAGCAGGTGCTGGTAGCGGCTGGTTTGGTGGATTTGCAAGACATGATTCAAATAGTGGTTCTGGAGGTGGCAGTTCATGGGTATTGACTGAAGACAGTGTCATTCCAGAGGGAAATATTCCTGCATATGATTCATCGTATACTTTACAAGGAAATAATTCATATGCATTTGGCAACAAATATAGATTTCTTTTTCATGATGTTGAAACAGTTCCAGGTATTTAGCAAGGAAATGGAAGATTAATAATTACAATATTAAAAAGTGTTTCATATAAATCGTGCAAAAATGTTTGTTATGGAAATATCCATTATCTTTGGCATTTAATTTTCGTTATTGATATTTCCAAATAAATTGTTTTTTAAAAACATATACATTTTCTTTGGAATTCATATTTTTTGTCACTAAGTGATTGGTTCGTAAACTATTCAAAATTGAAAAACGATCATCAGTCAATCAGTCATCGGTGAGTTCTTTGAAATATCTTAAAGAAAGAACACAACCATCAGTAAATTTAGATGTAGATCAGTCATTATTTGTTAAATTATCGAGCACATACCAAGGGGGTGCAATATATTGTAATTCTCGAATCTCTCTTCGAATTAATCATTGTTTAATGACTAATTGTTATGCTCCTGATCGAGGAGGTGGCATTTATTGCCAAGATAACAATATTTCAATCTTTAATTCATGCTTTTTAAGTAATAATGTAGGTTATGATGCAGATTGCCATGCTTATCAAGCATCAAACCTTATGTATGAATATATATCTTCCTTTAATGCCTTTTCTAACTATCATTCATTTTGGAGTCATGCATTTAATTTGTTGAAAATAAGATACTTTAATTCAACACTATCGAAAAATACTCTTAATCATCGTCAATATGGATGTTTTATGACATTATATGTATCTGAAATAAATTCTGTGAAATATCTCGAAAATTCCAATTCATCAGGAGTAACATCAATTTTTTGTGTTGAGTCAATATTTCCTGCATTTGTTGAGTATGTTAATCTGCTTCATGATGAAACTACTCCAAATCTCTTTGCTGCTCATATGCATACAAGTTTTAATAATAAATTTAAGTTTGTTTATGCTTTTGGAAACAAAAGAATTACTCAAGGTTTTGTTTACTTCATCAAGTACTTTTGAAATTTACAACTGTACTTTTGATTTGCCTGAGACTTTGTTCAGATCTCTGAGATATGATAACTGTAAATTTTCAAATTCAAACAAATCATATTCTGTTTATATTAAAAAAGAAACCAATAATCTGTGAAGAAGTTATTCAACTTGATTGTATGATTACTTTTTATAAATATAATTACCATAATTTTATGTTATTTTCAATTAGCTTTTTATCAAATTAGTTTGCAGAAACATAATCAATTTTTATTGTATATAATAAAATCATAGGATATCGTAATTTTACTGATATTTTTATGCCAATCTGACAATTCATGATAACAAATATTTGCAAAACACCTCACAATTTTGAGGCACATTCAAATTTTACATTGGATACGTAAGTATTGACATTTTAGTGATATAATATTAATGAATATCAATGAAAAGTATAAAAAAGAATATTTGAATGGTGTTATTACCAAGTGTGCAGTGTTTACATGTGATTTTGCCTTCTTGAAGTAGATAACAAGGATTTATCAGAATAGTTATAGTTATTACATCTATATTTGATGAAATTTGAATATTTAAAGTTTTCTCATTTGCATAACAATGATGAAAATTATAAAAACCTTCTCCATAAACGACTTTATTTGATGTATTTATAAATATACAATTTTCAAATGAAGCAGTTCCACCACTTACCCAAAATAGATATTGAAGTCGAGTGCCATCAATAAAATTATTAAATGATATATTAAAAGTGCTTGAACTTATCTCAATAAAATTATCATCAGCACACTTATAAACTTGATTAAGTTTTACAAATGTGCCATCAAATGAAACATGAAAACTCATGAGACTTCCCCGGCCAATTCCATAATTATAACTTCCATTGTTCAACAATGAAACAAAATAATTATTATGCAAACAAATACAACTATCTGCTCGATTAGTATTATCAGGTGCACATTTACATATTGTAGAATCGTTAAAATGTGTCTTAGCATTTTCAGAAAAAAGTACATTTCCATATTTATCATATTGATTGACACCACTAAAACAAGAATTAAATTGATTATTTTTAAAATTTTGAGAAGAGACTTGCGTATATATAACTCCTCCTTGTGCTGATGTGAAACATCCAATAAAAATACAACTTAAAACATCAATAAGAAAATTTGAATTAATAAACGACATACAACCTCCATTTGAAGAAGAAGATATCTTAACAAAACTATTACATCTTAGGTGTGCTGAATATTGAGTGATATCAGGATCTATCAATTGATTTTTTTTATAATAATTTAATATTCATAATCATTGAGCCTATGAAAAAGATGTTATTTGATAAAATATGTAGGTCAGGTGAGTGGGGCTTCCAGGCGCGTTGCGCCCTTTAGCCCCGGAGAAACTAGAGGAGGAATGATACAAAGACCAGATGAAAAAAATAAAAATATTATAATAAAATTAAATTTTTAGTCTTAAATTGTTTTTTTTTATTCGGTATATTCTGAATCTTGAATGTCTTGGAAATTTTCTTCTTCTTCGCTCTCTGAGGTGAGGATTTCTTCGACTTCTTCTTCTTCGCTCTCTGAGGTGAGGATTTCTTCGACTTCTTCTTCGCCATTGGGAGCAACAAATCCTGCGATGAAAACTTTGTATATACCTTCTTGAGGAGTCTCTATGATGAAAGTCGTATTGTTGAGGAAATGGAACTCGACATCTTGAACAAATTGGCAACTGCTGTGTGTGAATTTTGCAATTGTGAGAGGCTTTCCTTTATAGCCCTTGGGAAAGCTTGAGATAGTTACTGTTCCTCCATATGGAACTCTGGCAGGAATATCTACAGCAACAGTTGTTATAACGTGGAAATTGTCTAAGAATTGAGGCATAGGTTCAATGCAGTATAGTCGTTTTGACTGGTTGTCTTTTGTGTAGAAATATAAATAGAATGACCTTTCACCATGTTCATTCAATTCTTCCAAATAATTGTATGAATTTGGATATAAACGGACAAATTCAGCAATTTTAACTTCTTGTAAATGCTTCTGCAAGTTCTTTGGAAACAAGTGAATGAACTGGTCAATAGCTTGCAACGCTATGAGATTGGCAGTAACGGGTAAATATGAAGCAAACATGTCAACAAGTACGCCAGGGTCTTTGATTTCGTTTTCAAGTGGCTGAATGGCATCCATGACAGCTTGAAACATCTCGTTATAATCTCGATTGTCTTCTGAACCCCACTGTTCATTTAACTTATCTAACAATTCTAACCTTTTCTTTGCGTATTTTCTACGAACTTTCTCTGAAAGAGGAGTGTCGCTATCTTGTGTGTCTTGAATTTGAGACTTAAATTGTTTGCTAAAGGCGAGATATCGTGTTTGCGACCTAGTGGTCATTGCAGAATGTGTTTCTGTATGTTCGATTGGATGTGTTTCTGTATTTTCGGGTGGTTGTGTTTCTGTATGTTCGATTGGAGTCTGATTGGTATGAACTTCTTCTGAAAATGCTTCTGTTCCGATAGTTGTTGTTGCCTGACCTGTTGGCTGAGCTGTTTCTTTGTGCAAATGCATATTGTCCAACAATTTGTTTGCAATTGTATGAGGAAGTTGCTTTGGTATTATAGGAGGTCGTAAGGGTTTTGAGAATGGTGAGACATAAGTTGTAGGAACTTTAACTGCAGAGGTAGTCGACGAATTGTTTGCGACATTTTTTCTTCCTTCCATTATGAAAAATGAACTGTTTTTTTCGGACCACTCATAGAAAAGTTTGAAATAAACGGTTTTTGTCAACGGTAACCCCCTCTATTTTTTTATTTTATTTAATAGTTACCGTTGGCAAACCGTTCCATCTCAAATATTGAATGAACTATAAACGTTTTTTGTTTTCTATATATACTTTTTTGTCCAACGGTAAAACTTTTTACACAACGGTTTTTGAGAGTCGTCGCCGTTGACTTTTTTGTAGAGCACTCAAAATAGTATAACTTTGTCCGGACAAGTAAGGGTCTATCGTCGCTACAGGAAAAGTTACAGGCGTTCCAAGGAAGTATACTTTGAGAAGCCTTTTCCCCCTTATAGAATGAGATAGGACGGTTATTTTACAAAACTGACAACACTTTGACCGAGTAGTTTTTTGTGCTGAACAAAAGTGTCATATAAACATCTGTCAAAAACCGCTTTTTAACTTCACTTAAAATGCCACGTAAGCTACGTAAGAATATACGTAAGAGGAAGGGAGCATTGAAACATCCAATAGTAAAACTGACACCACAACAACAGTTGCAACAACAAATGATGAATGACCCCACTATGTTGCAACAAATGTCAAGCAACCCTATGCTTTTAAACCGAGTTATTGGTGCACAGAGTGGAGGTTTAAGAGCGGCACTTTTAGCGAAAATGGCAGGCTATGGTGGAGCTGCAGACGGAACAGCATAACCCTCAAAGTCAAATGAATTTGAGTTCACTCAAAAATCAAATAACAGATGTCAAAAAGTCAAACATAGACATACAGAAACAAATAAGTGAAAACGAAAAGAAACTAGAATATGACAGACACACAAAGAAACTCAATGAGTTAAACGTAGAGAAAAAGAAGAAAGAAGAACAACTGAAAGAACTAAGTACAGAGGAATATGCGAAAAAAGTGTCAGAAAAAGCAGCAGAAGTAGCAAAAATGGAACAAGATGTTATAAATTTGAAAAAACCATACTACTCAATATAAAGTACTGAAAGATGAAGAGATAAAACAAAAAGCCCTGAAGACATATATGGATAGCGATGAGTATAAAAAAGAAGTTGAAGCAAATGTAAAGGCAGAAAAACTTTTACAGTTGCAAAACCAAACCGTACAGTATGAAAACTTAGCACAAGAAAGTAAAAATAACGACGCAGCCATGCAAAAGGCAATGAAAAGCGCAGAATATATAAAAGCTAATAATGACTGGTTAGATGCCCAAGCCAACGCTAAAGCAGCCCAACTATAGGGTCAATAAGGACAAAAATACAAGCGGATGAAGACAGTTCAAATGAAGCTTTAAAAATGCTGACTTTAAGAACGCCTTCGAAGCTCTTCATAGTAAGGTGAAACTAGTGA